AATATCAAATTAATGCAGATCATACTTACAAATTACCAAGAGAACAAGCATTACAGTGAATGAATGTCAACCCATTACCAATCAAATCATCCAAACGCATATTTGTTTTTTTAAAAGAAAAGCAATGGCTTCATGTTGGAGTGCCTAGAAATCGTTCTCTTCCAGCCTATCTTTAACCAACCAAACACTAATGGAATCAAAGAAACAAGTTTTGATCAAGATAGAGTGCACAATAGGTGTATGAATGTCAACTCATAAACCGACAAAGATAAGTGCAGCCAATGTTCTCTAGTCCTATGCCAGGAAATTCAAACCTCAAAAGATGTCCTGTTTTCTCTACAATTGCAAAAAAGAAGAGGTGGGGAGGGGGGAAGGAAGAACATTATCCCTTCTGCAACTCTTGTCAACCGCAATATTACCCAAGCCCATATCTCAGCTCATGTCCACTACGGAACCCCCAACTATCCAATAAGGGCAAATCCAAAGAATTTTTGTTAAATAAATAATCCAAAGAATATTTTAATGAAAAGAAAGTAAAAAAACCTGGAAATTTTTACTGAAAATCTTGATCTTTGAGGAGCTTTCTCTGACAGCATATTCACCATCAGATGACCACACAAATTCCAGCGCTGAACCAAATGACCTATTTCTCCATGCCAAAGCTGTATAAATGATGTATTCACCATCTCCACATACAACAACAAACCTCCCATTTGGGTTGTGTTTTAAGCTCTGTACATAACATGAAGAAAAAGAAGCAGAAAGTCACGTATACAAGTATGCACTTAGTTATAACAAATAGAGCAACCCATTTTAGAATCAAATCTTCCTCAAATCACAAATTCCTTAATTTAAAACAGTGACAAATAATTGATCAATACACATAAAATAGTTTTCCATTATCTTCTTTAGACAGCTTTCTTAACATCACTTGATGTCAGTCCATTGAAGCTCTGGAAACTATTTATGGTTATTCAACAGAAAAGAGAAGCCTAAACTATAAAGAATTTACTATAAGTCTACAATGCGGAAAGTGAAAGCACATCCATCTGTATCCTTCCAGTATGTTCAATTAATTATCATGAGAATTTGCATAATGAGAATAAAAAAAAAACAGAAGCAGTAATTTCATGACATGGTACATCACTGAAATACTAAAATGCAGGCAGCAGAATGCAACTCACTTGTGGATAAAGATCACAGGTTCCCAACTCCTTCACGGCCAAAGGCAACCTCTCTCCATCAGTAACCTAAGATGCAATCAACACACCAAAAACGACTATTATGTTAATCATAAACAAAATAACATTTAACATTGTAATTTCCAGTTCTCTACAAGAGATGGAATAGGTTTAATAAATTCCAATCCAAACCTCAAAATCTGCTCCCACACTCTTGATATTAACAGTTTGGATCTCATTGTGCTTAGCCCATATGATCTTCCCACTGTTATCCATGCTAGCTACTGGTTCCTCGCGACCAATTTTAACCATAATGGTTCCTTCATCATACCCAATCACAATCCTTGACAAAAAATAATTGTAGAGTTAGTCCTAATGGAAGAATACAAAAAATGCTGGAGAATGAATATGAACTAGAATTCTAAGCCCATTATGTAAGCTTAGGACCTTAGTAGATTAAGTATTTTCTTTATACCTTAAATTATTTTGAAGTATTTAGCTTTCTATTAGGATTCTTTAATTATACTTAGATTAAGATTTTATATTTAAACATAACGAAATATATTCAAAATCTCAAATTTTAGATCAAGCCTCGAGTAAATAAATTACCGTGAGAGTTTTCTTAATACTTTCATTTTGATTATGTGGTGCAATCAACTCTTAGCTGTGATGTTAAGAAATCTTCCCCTTTGAGTGTGATGCCTAAGGATCATAGTGTGAAAAGTTGAATTTCTGCTATTTC